TAATCAACATCTTGTGCCTTGCAGAACGGCATAGGCATTCATGACTCTGCAACATATCTTGATTCTTCATGTTCTGGATCGTTCTACTCTGTATCATTCTATTGTATATTCTTGAAAGGTTGCAATCTTAAAGCCAGATATGTCTCTCAGTAAGTTTCTGTCACTTCTACAGTTGATTTCCCGGTCTTTATATGTTTTTAATGCCTCTCATCTTTTTATATGAAAAAAGTACTGGCTTCTCGTTGTTATAGTTGCAAATAACATTTCATTAATACAAACTTTCATTAGTCTAATTCAGGCAACTGTTGTTAGCTTGCAACATTCTTCTCAGAAATGACATGTCTGCTGCTCCAAGCTTTTCCTAATTTCTTCATTCATATTCCATAATTCACCACCAGTCAGCAAAAAGGTTCAGTATAACAATTCAATACATTCATTTTCAATGAAAGTGACTTCTTGAGAAATTGTTAATATTTGAAATGCAGTCCTTGATTGGCCTTTTCTGCTTCCAAAGTGTGCCATTAATCTTCCATCTGACTGCAGTAAAACATTTGAGTTTACTGACTTTGGTTAAGCACTTTTTCTTCTATTGTTATATTACATTTTGATTTTTTTTTATCTTTCCTTTTTACCCTTTTTTCTTTCCTTGATGTTCAAGGGAAGTCTTTTTGCATGCTCTAATGTTTTGCATGTTGCCACAAATCCTATGAATTTTTTTATCAACACAGTCTACCTATTTCAGTTTATTTACATAACCACTCTTACTCCTGGTCCTTCATTGATGTCTGATTATTATTTCTCTATGGAAAGAGAGAAAGAGATCCAGTGAAAATCACTTTCTTGTTTTAGTTCCTGTTTTATCTGTTCTTCCTGTTTTATGTGTTCATACCTGCCCAATTTGTGTACCATTTAAATTGTTTTGTTGTTTCCAGTAAATGTTTTCTTTAAAAGTTTTTCTGAGATCATTTTCTTAAATTTTATATCTGCCTACATTACAATCATCTCCTAATGTCTGACTTTATTAGGTGACAATATGTAATCTATTCTCAGATCTTTCTCATACATTTTTTACATCATCCAACATTACAATCATTTCATAATGTTTGATTTTTATTTTATGATGCCTTTGTGTAATCTATAATGCACAAGTATAAGGCTCTGTATTTCAAATGATCTCTCTGTTAAAGTTTTGAATTTGTCTAGTGCATTATTTGTCCCTTCCACTTCCAGCATTATGAGACCCAATGCTAAGATGAAACAAAGAGAATTTTATTCAAAGATTTCAATCTAGACAAAGAATATCTGAATGCGTTTTTCAAAATACATGCAAAATCAGGCACACTAATATTAAAAGCCAAATTCAGGATTTACTAAATCAACAACACTGACAATAACAATAATTAGAAGCAGTAAGTAAAACATAAAAGTGCAAAAAAGAACAGATGTACAGAAATAAATAATAAACTAACCAAAAGTACTCAAAATACAAAAATATAAAAAATAAATTAAAAAAACAATATAGATGACAATAAAATAAAAGCAGCAGCCACAATGTGTAAAGGTTCGAGCAGCTTTGCCATAATCATCACAGGGCTATAAACAGTACATGTGCCACTCACAGAAACACAGCCAAACATCCACTTTCAAGTCTCATATACATTACACCACCATCGCTCAACATAAAACAAGCACTAAATAACTAAGCTAAAGAAAACTATAAACTGATAACTATAGAATAAATTTCCTGAACTGTCTAGATTATTTTTATTAATGGTTCTAAAAGAATTAAATGACTGTAACAATATTATCTTACACACTATATAACTACATGTTAAACTTCTTTCAGCATTATATCCCTTAACAATAACAAGAGGTTAAATAAAATGTGACTGGCTCCTGTCTCCTTCAACATGCAACAAACGAGCAGTTAAGAAATACTTACACTTTTCTCTCTCACACAAATCTGGTAAATTTAGTACCAAATACTGTGAATTATTTTTACTTTTATCGTAAACACTACTGTCACTAAATTAAAATACAGTACTTCACCCTCTCCTTCCTTTTAAGAAGTTTAATCCAGATTAGGATATGTTATCACAACTGACATTATTTCTCTTCTTTTTTTTCGCCTGAAATAAATTATCTAAATCTGCAATGCTGTCTCTAGTATGAACTTCACTGTGTGCTGTAATTCACTTAGCAGTTCATAAAGTTTGGCTTCCACCAGTGACATCACTGCACACTGGGCTTTCTCATGGATGTTCAGTCCTCCAACAGCAACCATCCTAAAGTTACTCTACTGACTGTTCCATAAGAATTTTATAAAAGCTTGATCTTGGCCCTGACAATGTCACAGATGTGCTTCATCGGGCTTTACTCCCAGGTGGCCAGGCCGAGATATTAACTTTAATTTTTCACTAAGAGCTGTTACCCACCACATATATTACCACCGTCCATAAGAGAAGCTAGATATTAACAAGGCCCTCTGGCAGCAACTGTACAGTGTGGAGGCATAAACAGATCATACCAAGAGCTGTTACCCACCATATATGTTACCACCATCCAAAAGAGGAACTGTTACCCATCACATATATTACCACAGTCCATAAGAGAAGCTAGATATTAACAAGGCCCTCTGGCAGCAACTGTACAGTGTGGAGGCATAAACAGATCATACCAAGTGCTGTTACCCACAATCTATGTTACCACCATCTGTATGAGGAGCTGTTCCCCACCGCATATGTTACAACTGTCCATAAGAAAAGTTGGATGTCAACAAAACCCCTTGAAAGCAACTGTGGGGCACAAACAGAGCATCACTGTCTGAAGAGAATGGTGCAGCAGAGAATATGTCTAAAACTCAGGGAAGATGCAACTAGACTTCTGCTTGTATGACTGGAATTCAGCTTTAGACTCAGAATTGGACACTGTAAACTCAGTACATACCTACATCGTGGGTCTTCCTAATTCTGCTTCATGTGGTTGTGACTGAAGCAAACTCCAGAGGATGTCTTACAAAACTGCTAAGATTTTGCCAGTCCAAAAAAATGAAATCTGGCCCATAGGAATGTCCCTACTGAGGGGACCAGTGAAGATATCATTTTCAAACAGACACATAGCAAATACTGATCAATGAAGAAGGAACTGTGTCTTGGCTGCTGAAGATTTGGGTGGAACACTTATGGGAATGTCATGTGCTATGATGGTATCTCAACTTATAAGAGAAACAAAAGAAAAGTAATATTGTAACATACCATGCTAGCCATAGGAGGTAACTAAGAAGAGTTGGCGTCAGGCTGGCTACCTCATCTCACAGACAACATTAGAGCAAGATACAGCCAATTATGAAGAAGATTACAAATGCTTGTCATGAGCTAGTGGAGGACCTAACCTCCATCAGGAGCTCAAAGGCAGAAGAAGAAGAAGAAAAGAGCCATTTTATCTATATACAGAGTTGCAGAGGTGTTGAACTACATGTGGTGATGTACCAGGAAACAGAGTCCCAACTGGAAGCCCGGTCAACATAGACAGGATCATCATTCCCTTCACGGAGGGCATCTGCCAGAGAGGGGAACAACCGAAAGTCTGCACACAAATAAACCAGATCTGTAAATTGGATGCGCATGCAACACACAAGCCACTGAATAAGATCAAGTCCAGAAATAGATAAACAAGTGAGATTTTAAACCAGAGTTTACAGCTGTCGGACGCATTGAAGTAGTTTTAACTGAACAATAATGATGGCCATATGTCATTATTCAAAAGATATACTTGAATGTAACTGTAGACTGCAGACATTTCCAAAGTGTGTTAGCTCTACGTGCCATACTTATAGTGATCTGTTTTAGGTCAAATATCTGTAACGCTTCTTCATGTCTGAGTTGAGTTGAGTCAAGAATTTACATCACAGCACTCGGAGCATTCCTATGTATGCTCCATCCTCATCTTCAGCCCCTATGGCAGAGTTCCAATACTGATGGTACCGGTCATAATCTGGTTGTATGTCCGTCTTGCCTTTCCTCTGAATGTATACAGGCGGCCAGACCCTCTGGTTACACCCAGATGCCTCATTCTCTCAAGACCAAAATAATCTTCTATCTCTACTGATTTTGTTGCTTGTTCCCAAAGGGCCTTGACCACATCTGCCTTGTCATGCATCAATTCACCACCCAGTAGTGCAGATCCAGCCAATCTGTCTGCCTGTTCATTACCCACTACGCAGGCATAGCCTGGAGAAAAGATCCAAAGTATGCTCACCACCAGTGACCTTTCCAGTGAAGCTTGCCGCTCTGCTCAAAGAATCCCTGTCTTCACCTTTCTCAGCATGCTTTCAGGGTCCGTTACATTTACGACATGTGTATGCATTTTTTTTTCTAGCCGCCGGAGAGCTGCAGTTACCACCTCCACCTCCATTCTCATGTAAGATGTTGTGGTGTTGTATGCCAGGCCGCCTCGCACTAAAGATTTTCCACTGGCTTTCCATACGAACCCCAAGGCACTTTGTTTTCCTCTCAACACCAAACCATCTGTAAAGATAATCAGATGCTTGTTCATGTCTTTTCCAAACTATGTCATCCGGTGTTAAAACCTCTTTCCTTCTTTCATTACAGAATGTGTCTGCTGCTGTTTCACTGACAAAAATGGATCTTTACAATTCTTTGTTCTTGTTTTACAATGAAGTGCAGTTTTCAATAGGCAACTGACTATACAAACTCGACGATAGCTTCATTTAACGTTCTCTAATGGTGGACTTAATCTTATTTCCAATGAACTGGTAAGCTAAGGGTACAAGAAATTTTCCCATATTTGTAGCTCATCCATGGCTTACCTTGATGTATAATTCAAGAAGTAACTCCCATACCAATGACCAAAGAAATTAGCCAGAACTATAAGACTAGCTGAATGAATATACAAAAGTTTAAAGATATCCTGAACAATACTGTGCCTAAATTTTAACTGGTGAGAGAACCAAAAAACAAAGTGAAAAGCTAATCACAAACCTTTCTCTGGGTGAGGTTTCCCTTGGGAGGTGGACAGTTCTTCTTGCTGTCGTTCAATTTCTTCACGCACTCTACGCATTTCTTCTTGCCTGTGTTTAGCCTGGTTTGCTGTGGTCTCTTTGTTCACTCTGTTATTTAAAATATAATATAACAAAACAGTATATTACAAGTCCATAAATACAGTGTTGAGTGTTGAGCTAAGAACAGACAGCACAGCAATCCGTCCTCGTCTTCAGCAGCTAGTGAAGAGTTCCAATTCCAATGGTGCTAGCAGCAGTTTGATTATAAGCCCGTCTTGCCTTTCCTCCAACTGTACAGTGTTGACCAGATCCACTGGTCACTCCTAGCTGTACCATTCTCTACAGACCATACTGATCTAGTCATGCCTCTGCATTGTTCCCTTACTCCCAAAGGGCTGTGACCACATGTAGCTAGTCATGCATACATTCACCACCCACTGGTGCAGAACCAGACAATGTGGCAATTTCTCAACACAACCCACGGAGAAAATAACCAAAGAACACCAACCACCCGGGGCTTCTAAAGCAATGCCTGTCTCCACCTTTCTCAATATAAATACTATATCTAAAACTGTGTATTAGAAATACATTTTTGTTCGCTGTTTTTCATGGATATTCTTCCCACACCCTCAAGTGTACCGATCTTCTCCTGAGTAAGTTTCTTAGTGTATTTACACTTAACAACACCTGGTCTGCAGTGACGGATGCAGCAACTCTTCTTCTTCTTCTTCACGTTCACCAGCTGTAAACTCTGGCGGAAGGTTCTGGTTGCTCGTCCACTACTGAACTGCAGTCCTGCTCCAGAACCTGAGTGTTGCGTGTGCATCAGTTTTACAGATCTCATTCTCTTGAATACAGACTGTTGGTTCCTTGCCTCTCCGGCAGATGCACTCCGACTTCAAAGGAAGCTTCCCAATTAGTCGACTCTTACGACATGCTTTTGGGGAGGCAGTGGGTCTATTCTTGTTTTTCCCACAATGGGGCCCCCGGAACCCACACGGGGGGGGGGGGGGGGGGGGGGGGGGGGATGCAGCAACTGTTAGCTCTCTGTTTATCCCACCATTCTGCTCCCATGAATATAACCAGACTTTGCATATGAGTCGGGGGGAAGGAGAGAGGGGGGGGGGGGTATGTTGTTTGAGGATTTCACTGCATGTTGTCTCTCGTTTAGCACCAACTTTCTGTCCACTGAAGATCCACTTTCCGTGGTAGCGCTGCTTGCAAGGGTATCCACTCTTTCAGGTCAGCATGTCACTGCAACAGTTATGCTCTGAAACTACTTATTACTCACACTTAAAACTACAGTTTTTATAATAATAGGTTTAATTAACCTACAATATCCTTAGTTTTTAAAGTAAAACCAGATGAATAAAACAGAGACTTAAACTGAAATAATCGTCTTCTACTTCTTCACGTTCTTACTTACTTACTTACTTAGTCGCTCCTCTTCTACCTTGGGGTGTAGAGGTTTGCCAGAGAGATCGCTAGACGTCTCTATCAGCAGTTTTCTTTCTGGCTTTGTTACATTCCAGTCCTCTGTCAGTTAGGGACTGTCAGATGTTGTCTTCTCAGCGCCCCTGGGTCGTCCTGGAGGTCTGGTTCCCTGGTCTTCTTCACGTTCACCGGATTCAACTCCAGCGGAAAGTTCTGAGTGTTGCGTGCACATCCATTTCACATTTCTGACTCATCTGCGTGCAGACTGTTGGTTCCTTGCATCTCAGGCAGATGTACTCTGACTTTGAAGGAAGCTTCCATTTAGTCGGTCTTATTACATGCTTTTGGGCAGGCAGAGGGGTCTATTCTTGTTTTCCCCCAAAAGGAGGCCCCGGTACCTATACGGGGAACTGAAATAATCAAACTTCGCATACCAAAAAAAAAAAAAGGAATAAACTGCAAATGAGAAAGATAGTCTTCTTCTTTTTATTCACAGGCTGTAAAGTCCAGCCGAAAGTTGTGGTTTTTCGTTCACTTCTAGACTTTAAAGTCTTTTTTCCAGAACATGAATTTCGCATGCACATCTGTTTCACAGTTGTATGCTTAGTTGTATGCAGACAGATATTAAAACAGAAATAAACCACCAACAAACCTTTTGACCCACACCGGCTGACTGGCCTCTGGTTCTGCCTGGCTGGAGTAGGAACTTTCCAATGACATGCTCTTACTACGTTGTATTGCAGATTTTATGTCAGCAATGGCCATGTCTAAGGCTTCGCGTTTCATTTTCAAATCATGCATTATAGCTTGAGCATCCATTTCTTTTGGTCTGCAGTCCTGTAGAGAAGCAGAAACAGCAGTGATTAATATATCCCTGGCCAGCAATCTGTGAGAAAGAACACTAAAATAACATGTACTGTTTGCACTCATAGCAAGAAGTAGAGTATTTGGAGGCGAAAGGTTAGAATCCTGTATGGTCACTATACCTTCCGATATTTATGTTGTCTAGTGTGTCTTTATACCTCTACTATAGTGTCTTCTTCTGCTTCTTCTTCTTTTTCTTCTTCATCACATTCACTGGCTGTAAACTCCAGCAGAAAGTTCTGGTTGTTTGTCCCCATCTGGATTTAAATCCTGTTCCAGAATCTGAGTATTGCATTCACATCCATTTTACAGATCTGGCTTATCTGTAAGCACTGTTGGTTCCTTGCCTCAGGCACATGCACTCTGCCGTCGAGGAAAGCTCCAATTAGTAAACTCTTATGAAACGCTGTTGGGGAGGCAGTGGGTCTATTCTTGCAGATCTTTTTGGCCACAAAAGCCATAGCTAAAGGAACACACATACTTAACAAAGGAAAATTACAAAAACCATTTAGGAATAAATGCTGATAAAAGAGGCTAGATGAAATCATGTGTAAGCATGTGTGAACATGGAATAAGGAGTGGATCCATCAAGGAAGAACATTCAAAAGGTCACTCCAATAAGAGATAGGGAGAAGAAAAAGTAAAGAAAGTTATTTCCTCCTTCCTTATCTTCAATAGTATTCACAATAATATCAGGAGCTGCCAGTTTGTCATTTACTGATTACGTACTAGGTCAAACGTTGAGCCATGCAAATGAATGTTCAGTCATCTAATACCACATTCAACAAGGCATTATTTATTTAGCGAACTATGCTAGAAAAAATATTAGGTTGGCTGCTAAAATGTCAACTTATAAATGTCAATTTATCAGAGACAGAGAAAATGATATATAAATAAACAGATAAAAGGAAAAATTGCAACACATTATTTGCTCTCTATTACTCTTCCCACCCCCACCCCCCACCCCACCCCAATGCCTTTTTTTTTAACTTCCTCTCTCTTCTCTACTCTTTCCTCTTTTCTTATCATTCACCAACTGTAAACTCCAGTGTAAAATTCTGATTGCCTGCCCACTTCTGGTCTTTAGGCTTGCTTCATAACTTTAGTCTTAGTGTACACCTGTTTTACAGATCTGGCTTATTTCAATGCAGACTGTTGGTCCTCGCCCCTTTGGCAGATGCACTCTGACTACAAAGGAAATATCCCTAATTAGTTTAGCCTTTAGGACATGTTTGTTGGGGGGAGGGGCAGTGAGTCTATTCTTTTTTCTCCCAAAATGGGGCAGCGGAATTCACACAGGTAACTGTATATTGTGTTTCTTTTTTTTCCCCAGCAATTATCGTTTGCTATGCATCTATTCCAGCATGTGCTTAAGGTCTTTATCAGTGCCTGACAGTAACACATCTATGTCAGCATGGGTCAAAAACAAGATGGTGCTCTTGAGGTCTTCATCAGTGTCAGACAGTAATACATCTATTCCAGCTTGGGTCCCCAAAAAAAATGACGCCCTTGAAATCTTTACCAATGCCTGACAGTAACACATCTATTCCAGCATGGGTCAAAAACAAGATGATGCTCTTGAGGTCTTCACCAGTGTCAGACAGTAATACATCTATTCCAGCTTGGGTCAAAAACAAGATGACGCCGTTGAAGTCTTTACCAATGCCTGACAGTAACACATCTATTCCAGCATGGGTCAAAAACAAGATGATGCTCCTGAGGTCTTCACCAGTGTCAGACAGTAATACATCTATTCCAGCTTGGGTCAAAAACAGATGACGCCCTTGAGGTCTTTACCAATGCCTGACAGTAACACATCTATTCCAGCATGGGTCAAAAATACGATGATGCTCCTGAGGTCTTCACCAGTGTCAGACAGTAATACATCTATTCCAGCTTGGGTCAAAAACAGATGACACCCTTGAGGTCTTTACCAATGCCTGACACTAACACATCTATTACAGCATGGGTCAAAAACAAGATGATGCTCCTGAGGTCTTCACCAGTGTCAGACACTAATACATCTATTCCAGCTTGGGTCAAAAACAAGATGACGCCCTTGAGGTCTTTACCAATGCCTGACGGTAACACATCTATTCCAGCATGGGTCAAAACAAAATAGTGCACTTGAGGTCTTTACCAATGCCTGACAGTAATACATCTATTCCAGCTTGGGTAAAAAAAAACAAGATGACGCCCTTGAGGTCTTTACCAATGCCTGACAGTAACACATCTATTCCATCATGGGTCCAAACAAAATCGTACTCTTGAGGTCTTTACCAATGCCTGACAGATATACATCTATTCCAGTTTGGGTCAAAACAATATAGTGCCTTGAGGTTTTGGGAGCTTCCTTGGAAGTCAGAGTCCATCTGCCTGAGAGGCAAGAAATCAACAGTCTGCATAAAAATGAGTCAGATCTGTAAAACAGATGTGCATGTAATACTCGGTTTCTGGAACAGGACTAGAGTACAGAAGTGGATGAACAACCAGAACTTTCTGCTGGAGTTTACAGCCAGTGAATGTGAAGAAGAAGAGACGGCACTTGGGATATTCTCATATGTGCTCTGTTCTCATCCTCAGTAGCAAACGATGCGTTCCCAGACTGATGGTGCAAGCAGAAACCTGATTTAAAGTCCTAGTCTTTTTTCTAACATGTTGAAAATTGTCCTGACAATCTGCTTATTGAATCATTATACCCATGCATTCAGTTAAGCCCTAAAAAAATCTAAGTGACTTTTCTGCAGGTGTTCAAAATTCAGTTGTTTCAGTTCCCATTTGCTTCAAAAAAAAAATGTGCTATTGAAGGCTTTCTAGTCACAAGGATACTTCTGTCAATGGTGATATGTGTTTTTGTTAAACTAACCAGTGTTACATTCTTTTACTGTAAATTTATTCTTGTATTTCAACAGCTTTACCACAGTTCATCCCATTCTATATTTTTACTAATTAACTGAGGTCTAGTCTTTCCAGAAGTTGCTCATCGTTTTCAGACCATCTATTCATTTAAGCGTTAGTGTTGATGAAAACTTTCCTGTTGCTAATTTTGATCAGTACAGTTTTCTTTATAATAGTTGTTTAAATTTTCCTACTATTTTCCTTGTGGTGTGTTGAAGAAATCGTTCCCGTTACTAATTTTGATCAGCACACTTTGCTTTCTAACAGTTGTTTACATTTTTCTGTTATTTTCCTTGTGGTATTGTGAAGTACTCTTAAGGTTTCATTACGCTGCTGCATCTTCTTTCTCTCAATGGGCTATCTGAACATTACTTGTCAACCCTCAAAGGCTTTCTGACTCTTTTATTATCTTCTGTGTATTTTTCATTAGCTCAGACTTAATAGCTACTGTTTCACTATTATTTAAATCTACTGCCATCTACCTCCTCTATCTCTTATATTTCTCAGTAGTTTCAGACCTCCCTGATGATTTATATCTTCTATTTTAAAGTCTGTTCTTTACCTCATATTTTTTATCCTTTCAGTTTTACTTTTTGTGTGGGTAAAATGGAATCATTGTTACAGGTAGTACCAGGCAATGTTTTCATATATTTCTCTTCATTTTTAAATCCTTTATTATTCACCATGAAGTCAGTCTAACTGAAAGTTTTCTTACTGGAGCTTTTCCATTGTGGAGTCTCTTTTATGTCAGGTGTTTGTAATGAAAGTGTAAATTATCTGTGCCTATACTATTAGCGGTTTTCCTCTTCACTTCTTTTTCTTAAATCAGTCACCTACCACATTCTCCATTTTCTGCTTTCCAACCCAAACTTAACATTGAAATTTTCAAGTCTTCTTCTTCGCGTTCACCAGCTGTAGACTGGCAGAAAGTTCTGGTTGCTCGTCCAATACTGAACTGCAGTCCTGCTCCAAAACCTGAGTGTTACGTGTGCATCAGTTTTACAGATCTCATTCTCTTGAATACAGACTGTTGGTTCCTTGCCTCTCCAGCAGATGCACTCCGACTTCAAAGGAAGCTCCCCAATTAGTTGACTCTTACGACATGCTTTTGGGGAGGCAGTGGATCTATTCTTGTTTTCCCCACAATGGGGCCCCGGAACCCACACGGCGGAAAAAATATTAATGATTCTGAATGATTCTGTTTTGGTCTGAGATATTATCATTCATTATTCATCATATAATATAACCTCTCCAAAATAAACTATTGGGAATGGATAAAGACTTCAAATGCATCTTGTTTTTGACTCATGCTGGAATAGACTTATTACTACTGGTAAAACACAGAACCCTGAATGAGTAGCTCTGAGTTGATATGATCAATAAACATTGTTCCTTTTAAAAAATTTCATTTTGGACACTGAGACATCCTATTGGATCCCTTCTGGCAAAACAACAAATATTTATAGCATCTTCATCCAACTTTGTGCTATCAATGCCAAACATGGACCATAAGTAGATCTTATAAACAAAAAATAACCATGTGAGAACTGTGCTGTCTTCAAAGGGTAACCATCAACACAAGAAGGGACAGGGTTACAAATACCAGCATAAGAAAGTAGGATTGAACAAGACTGTTTAAATTATTCTGAAAGAAACAGAATTAAGAGGTCTCACTAGCTAATAAGAATGCAACCAGACTAAACTGTATATGAGACTTTCTACAGTAGAACATCTGGGCAGAAGGTAAGAGGAAGACCAAGGAAGTTATGGATAAACAACAAAAAGATTAACAAAACCATCATTCAAGCAACCCAACAAGTGAAAACCATCATTCAAGCAACCCAACAAGTGAAAGACAAACACAGAAAACCACAACACTGGGCTACAACCGGTAACAGTCCAATGACAAAAGAAGAAGAAAGAATATGTTCATTTAGGAAGTATGAAGACATGCAGCCTTACCTCATCTTTTTTTGATGCATCTGAATCACCAGCTGCTTTCTGTTTAGATTTAGCCAATTTTGAAGGGGAATTATCACTGCAAGCTCCTGCCACCGCTTCATCAATATCGCTGGCTTGACTGCTGGATAATCCATCCTCTAACGTAGGAAACCCGGGTGTTGAATTATCACCCTCAGATGTTACACTTTCAACTTCAACACTGTCACACTCCGTGTTTTCTGGAGACAGAGTGAACGCCTTCTTGTCTTCGGGATAGTCACTGCTATTAAGTGGGATCTCCATTAATGATTCCTCACACACCTTTTCTTGACTCCCGTCATCTGAATGAATCTTCTGCTGTAAATTCTTCTCTGGAGATGGCTCCCTTGAGTTGTCTTCCGAGTAGACACCTTGCTTTATGCTCAAAGAATCACTAGAACTAGAATAAGCTAACCGCATACCGACGTATGAGTTACCCTGTTGAACACGAGCATACTTGACGTAGTCATACTCGTTCTCAATGTTCATATTTCTGGGAATGGGAGTTATAACCTCGATGACATTCTCTTTTGTTCTACTGGAAACCTTCTTGGGTCTCAGCTTGCCAGGATGTTGTTGAGTGGCAAGAGAAGAAATAATTTCACACTGCTTACTAGCAATTTCAATTCCTGAGGCGTCTCTGTCCACTTGACTATCAATTTCCACTCGTCTGGCTGCACCAGGAGACTGCTTCAGACCAATCACTGTTGATCTGTGTCCCTGGACTCTACTGAAATCAACATTAAGTTCCTTCTCATAGTCTTTCACTTCACCAACCAGAGGAATGTTGTTTCTGATTTCAAAACTGCTTCGTTTTGCACTGCCCACCTCTGAATCTATGCCTGGCTCACTTGCATTCTTTTCCTGCCTTTTCATATTCTCTAAAGACTCTGAGGCTGACTGGTCTTTCAATCTGACATTTGGATGAGATGTATTTGAGGAGCTATCTGAAACATAAATGCTTCTGTCTCCTCGAGACTTTTCTCTATGGTCGTCTCCTTGTATGGCTCCCATAGGAAAGTGTTCTGACAAAGGAAGATCACTTGCTTCAAATGTCTCCAGGTCGTCTGGTGGAAGTTCAGCATCAGGAAAATCTGGAGGATACGAATCCAAACTATCATCACTACCTCGGCGAGAAATAATACTCCCAGATGGTTCCCCATCGTCCAAAAGATTCTGATAGGACACAGAGCTTATTTCACTTGGGTGACGGGAATTATCCCCTCCTAAATGTACCTCCATACTGAGATTGTCCACACTATCGTCTAGTAGACTACCAGAACTCGGTTCGGGTACAGCCAAGGAGAACCGTCTGGGATCGTTACTAACACCACATGCTCCTTGTTCATTTTCGTCATCTGATTCTACAACACTTTTGACTTTCTTGTCTTTCATCGACATTGTGTTCAACTGTTACTTAAGGATTGAAAATAGAAAATGGAGCAACATCCATACCTGCAATACAAAAAGAAACTGCTTATTTATTTAATATATCTATACTACAGTAAGCAATAGGAATAATGACTTGCTTAATTTATTTATATTAGATTGTAGACTGTAATAAATAGAATGAACATAAAATAGGATGAATTTTAAAAGAGTGAGATCAGAGACATGTCTGAAAAAATACTGTCATAAGACAGAGAAGATGGAGATATACTGGGCACACTCTAAGATCAAATGAGCAAAAAATTAGACAACAAACCAAATGAGAAAAAAATGGTGGAAAAAAAAGGACATCCAAGGCAATCGTAACGAAAAACATTTTGTTGAGAAGCTAAAAACGCTGGGTTGAACTCCCTGTCAGAAAATGAGAGAGTTGCATGCAACAGAGCAGAGTGGAGCAATCGAATGTGAGCCCTATGTGATGTCTAACGGCACACAAAGGATGATGATGATGATAAATAACGAGACTAATTTACATATTTCATCAGCTAGAAGACTGCTGTACTCGGAGACTAACAAACGGCTTATTTCATATTAGCTTGTAGATTGCAGGACACGATAGTTAAAAACTACTTATTGCACATAATGAGACTACTAAACTGCTGCTTAATACTAATTTGAAGACTACAACAAATAATGAGACAAATAAACTGTTTATATTAAGTTAACTACAACAAATAATGAAACTAATAAATTGCTTATATTATATTAAGTTACTGCAGCTTGTGGGTTAACAATGAGATCAATAAACTGATTATTAATTTGTAGAGTGGAGTAAACAATGAAGACTCAAACATTTGCTGTTTGTTGAGTAATATCTGCTAAATGTAAACTGTGTACTTTCCTATAAATTAATCCGCTTTCATAAGTTTTTTTTTTTTTTAACTTGATTAAACAACAAAACAGCTACAAGCACTGGTATGAGTAATATTTACACACGCTAAGTGGTGAGCAAAAATGGTAAGGGGATGTTTACACTTCAACATGCAAACCAAAATGTCTCTTTTTCCTGTATAATCAACATCAAATGGAATTATTAAGGACAGAAAAATGATGAAACAGTTGTAGCTGTCCAAGAAAAGGGTTAACTAGAGTGTAAAGTGGTATTCAACAATGAAACATAATAGTTATATTTCCTTTCTTTTAACATGCAATGAGCATGTTTTTCCTCCATGCCACAGTCAGCATAATGTCTTGTTATTAGCTGATGATATGTTGAATTATATTTCATTAGTTATGAATCCTTTTCATATATTTAATAATTCCTCCCCCGTCTATTTTTTTTTTTTTTTGCACCAAAGTGCAGGTATAAAGAAGCAGTTTTGCTACAAGGATACAAATAATAACCTGTCAGTTGCTATTCTCATATACAAACGTCCCTGCAATTAACCAAACTCACTTGCTGGCCAACTATATTCCAAATTAAGTCCTTAAAATATAAATTAGTATTCTTACAACAGAATCAGGCATTACAACTTAATTATTTTTCAAGTTCATCTTCACTGTTGTGAGAAATATATGGATGTATACAGGGTCATGTCCATTGGGGGAGTATAGTCCAATTTTATACAAAATGTATGTCCCTTGGAGTCCAGGTTACAGCTTAAGGGAGGGTGGGGGGGGGGGGGGGGGGGGGGGGGTGATTTTTGGAAATCAGATCGCAGACCCAATTGCCAGGATCACAGGGTCAAGGACCTGTATAGCCGTGCATTGGGAGGAAAGTGGGGAGTTCATGAATAAATGTGAACCAGAGTCTTCATGCTAGGCATGAGGAAACTCATGTGCAGGTGGTGAACTATGGGTTGATATTAGAGGGAGTTGGCTCCGTGGAGTTGGAGAGGAAGGACACACTGTCAAGAGTCCATGAGAGCAGATGTTTATTTGTATTTAAATGCGCCACTGTAGTGCATTATCATGGAGCTCTGTGGGACTGAGCCTCGAGAGGCAGGGGGTAAGAAGTGTTGGTGTTGTGGGTAGTGGGTTCCCCCCCCTTACTTCACCCTAGGTCTAGTGAATATCTGTTCACGAAAGGAGCGTCCATTGTGGTGTCAGCCTCTTGACCTAGCAAAACCTCTCTTACCTCAAGACCATTTTGCGTGGCGAAGAGTCACAGCCTCCCCGAGGTAGTCCTGGTAACTGGGGGTGTTTATCCCCAGGCAAAACACAATGGATCTAGAGGAGCAAACCTCGATAATAAACCCGGTGCACCACATCGTACTGCCCCCTGTGGGAGGAAAGGAGCCAGAGGTGTGCTGAATACCGGAAACTATCGTGAAGGCACAGGGACTCAGGACGTGACGATCCAGTTGCCCCAACTACTCATGCTTAGGCCATGCGTAGAGCCATGAAGAGCTCAGCGAAACCTGCAGGCAATCTGGTGGCGGGGAATGAGCACACTGTGAGCCCCACCTTAGCTATGTGTTAAAGGGGAAGGCAGAAACACAACCCATATTTCCTTTAGAACTGGTACAGGGCATTTCTGGCTGCTGCCCGGGGAGGTAGGTAATCCACAGACACCCCAGCACCACAATGCCATGAATATGTCAAAATTTAAGAATACATACGAGATCGGTCGTCGCCTCGTCTATCAAGGCCCGTGCCAGACAGTGGGAAACCAGGCTGTCATGTGCGAAAAATTGGCTACTGGAAAATTTGAAATAAATAGAAAAATCAGACACCCCAGGAGGAGGAAGAGTGGGAGGGAGAGCAAAGAGAACTCAGACAGCACAGCAAAAAATACACAGATGCTCAATATTCTGCAGCTGAACATCTGTGGAATAAGAAATAAGAAACTTGAACTTGCCAAACTGCTAAACAACCACAGGGTACACGTGGCTGCCCTACAAGAAACCCTGCATAAAGACTCTGATCTGCATCTCACTGGATATACTAGTTATGCCTGTAAGTGCAATGACTGCCGGGGCATAGTGACCTATATCAGAAATGACATACAAGGAGATGTAACAATGCTGTCGACATCTCACCCTACAGATGTGCAAAAAATAACTATCTGGCACAATGGAAGCAAATATACGATATACAACGTGTACAGCCCACCTCAGACAACATGCAACATACCAGAACTATACAAGACACAGTACCATAAAACCCTTCTTGTTGGTGAATTCAACGGACACTCGCCACGTTGGGGTTACCCTGACTACAATAGCACAGGGAAATACATCGAAGATACTTGTGAAACAACTAACCTATTAGTGCTGCAGGACACAGAGTCTACACCTACACTGTTACACAGGGCCCACCTATCTCTCAGCCGACCAGACCTGACCATCTGCTCATCTGACTTAGCAGACGCAAGCTATCCCCAAGTCCTGGACGACATAGGAAGTGACCACAAACCTATACTCACAACTGTAAGCACCACTGCTAAATTACGCTTCAAGCAGAGAACCCGTTGGAATTTCCGAAAAGCAAACTGGAAACTATTTCAGGAAACATCAGACTGCCTCCTGGGAAGAATTGACAACAGCTGGGTGGAAACTTTTTGTGAAGACATAACACAAGCAATCCTGAATGCAGCGTCGAAATCCATCCCAAGGGGCAGCCGGAAGGCATATAAACCTTTCTGGAATAAAGAAATTCAAAATACTATATCTGAAAGGAATAAAGCAAGAATATTGCTCGAAACTGCACGTTCAACAGAAGCAAAGATCCAATACAATAAAGCATGTGCCAGAGTAAAGCTTGTAGTTAATAAGGCTAAAAGAGATAAATGGACAGAAACTTGCTCCAACTTAGACCTTAGACAGAATGGAAATAAAGCATGGACTTTAGTTAAAAACCTCTCCGGAGAAAGTAGAAGGGTGAACCCAAAACCAGTGACAGATGGGAGTAAGACAATCACTGAAGACAAAAAGAAAGCAGAACATTTCAATCATTATTTTGCCTCAGTTAACAGAGCAGGTAAGCTGTCACAATAGAACACAGCTCTCTCAGTTGAAGAAACAAGAGAGAGCTCCAACAGCCAGCGACTCCCTTTTTGAAAATGAATTTAGCATGGATGAATTAGAGCAAGCCCTGAAGAAATTAAAACCTAGAAAATCCCCAGGCCCAGATAAGATCCACAATGAAATGCTGCTACATCTTGGCCGGTCTGGGAGAGAAGTAGTTCTCAGGCTTATTAATAAAACTTGGAGGTCAAGCAAACTTCCAAAGGCATGGAGGAATGCATATATTGTCCCCATTCTTAAAACCAAAAAGCCTCCAGATGATCCCAAAAGCTACCGCCCAATATCCTTAACATCATGCTTGGGCAAAGTTGCAGAAAGAATGATAAACAGGCGCTTATATTGGTTCCTTGAGAGTTCTGGTGTTCTATGCCATGAACAGGCAGGCTTCAGAACCAACAGCTGTACAGAAGACCAGCTGTTCAGACTGACACAAAGAATACATGATGGCTTCCAGAATAAGAAACACACAGTGGAGTCTTTGTCGACCTCCAGCAGGCCGATGACAGAGTATGGAGAAAAGGTCTCCTGATGAAGATGATAAGCATAGGAATACATGGCAGATTGTATAACTGGGTGAAATACTTCCTGATAGATAGAACAATCCAGACTAAGATGCACAACGCAATCTCTTCTAAAGAAGTCTTGGAGGAGGGCTTGCCACAAGGCTCATCATTGAGCTGTACACTGTTCCTAATCTTTATCAATGACCTGCCAGAACAAATCAAGGCCGAAAAAGCCTTGTACGCTGATGACCTAGCAATATGGCAGAGTCATGAAAATGTGGAAAGTGGAGCCCAAAGACTGAATGGAGACCTTAGAAGACTGCATGAGTACTGCCAAAGATGGAAACTCAAGGTTAACTATGCAAAGATGGTCTACACAATCTTTACCAAAAGCCACCAAGTAGCAAGGAAGAATATTAAACTGAGGTTAGACAAACACCAAGTGATGAAAGAAGAGCATCCAACATACCTTGGAGTCACA